TGGGGGCGCTTTGGAAGCTAAGAGGGAATAGGGGGGGGATATCTTTGGATGTGGGAGACCCTGGGGGGGTCTGGGGGGCCCTGCAGAGACAGGGGCTGTCCTGGGTGGTGGGAGATAAGATAGAGGACTTTGGGGGGGTTGGAGGAGCCTTGGGGGGTGGTCCTGGGGACCTCTCCTGAAGTCAGAGCCGGGGGTTGGTTCCCCCTGGGGGGCTCTGAGGGCTCTGACTCCGGTGAGTTGGTGGAACTGGGGAGGCTTCTCCTGCCCCTGCTCGCCTGGCACCGTGGGATCTGTCACCTCTCAGCAGCTCCAGCTTGGAGCTGTCACTTCCCACTGCTGGGAGCGCTGGTTTGGAGCCCCTCAGGGAGGGATGGGCTGGCTCAGGTGTGAGACGACCCCTGTGTGACCCCACAAACTCCTTGTTCTGCTCAGCTCGCCCCGTTTTGCTCTTCCTTTGTCGCCTCTTCCCCTGTCCCTGTGGAGGTGTCACTCCTTTCCCTGCTCTCAGGTCCCTCCAAGGATATTTTGGCTCAGCATAAAAGTGTCACCAACTGCAGTGAACTTCCCATTCCATCCTGCCTGTTGGGCAGGGACTTTCTTCCCCCAGGGATGGTCCAGAGGGCTTCTCTGGTTCTCCCTAAAGCATCGGGGAGGAATCCACAGCCATTCCAAGCACTGGCTTGGGGTTTTCTCAGCGGAGTCTAAGAATAACTCCAGTGTTTAAATGTGGAGGAGAAGGTGTGGGAGGTGGGCTGAGCAGCCAAATTCCCGTTCGGGAAAACGAGGAGGGTTGACATCCTGATTTCCTTAAAGCCAGAGCTCGCATTCAACCTCCTGTGGCAGGAGTTGGGGGGGGAGGGGAATCCTGCTGCCGATTCCAAATGTTCCACGGGGGCTGAAGTGATGGAGGGCTCGGGAAAGCCACCAGCAGGTGGGAGTGGGGGGGGGGGGTGAACTCAACCCACAGGGTTGGTAACGAAGGGCTTCTCTCAGAGGAGGGTTCTATTCCTGATCCTGGAAGTTGGTTGGGAATTGAGGAGCCCTGGATTTCTGTAGTTGGTGATCTCGAGCCGTGGGACACTGGACCCTTCCCCTGCTCCCTGGCAAGGAAGTGCCCAGGGGGATCGTGTCCTCCCTCCTCCCTGCCCCGCCGAGCTCCAGATAGTTTAATCTTTCCTCGGAAATCAATCCCTCCAGCTGTTATCCATGTTTTCCTGAATCCCTTCCAATTTGCCAATATCCCTCTGACACCGAACAGCCCCGAGCTGGACGTGGTTTGCATCAGAGCGCTGGAGATTTGGGGCCTTCCCTCCCTCCCTCCCCTCGGATGAGGAGAAGGAAGAGCTTGACACAAACTTTGGGAATGTGTTGAATTCAACCTCCCTCTCGCCATTCCTCTCTCGCTCTGGTGAGGGCTGTTTCTGACAGGAATTCCTACTTATTCTTTCTGGTATTTCTGCTCTCTCGAGCTTCCTCGTTTTCCAGTCTCCCCCCCCAGCATTTCCCAGTGCTCTGACTTGGTTTGTTGGCTGAGAGCTGAAGGTGTGAGGTGAAGGGGCACTTGCTGCTGCCTCGCTGAGCCCACCTCGGCAGGTGCAGGTTCCTCTCTCTGAGCTGGTTGTCCGTGGCAGTTCTGAGCCCCTGTGGAAGCAATCTGCAATCCCCCTGGCACAGCTGGGACCCCCCCTGGCACGGCTTGGGAGGCGTGGAGGGAGGTGGCTTCGAAATAAAAGGCCGTGGCTTCGAAAAAAAAATCCGACCTCTCCATTCCTGTCTTTATTCCCATCTCTTCCAAAACCCCCTCAGAGCCCTGCCAGAGAAGACAACTGGATGAGGAGGACACTCTCAGGGTGGATAAAAGGGGGTTTGGGGTTGTGTGGCAGGGGGGTGGGCAGGGAATTTCCCTCTCCCGTTTTGGGAGATGAGGAAGTTGGGGAGAGGAAGCACGAGCGGGTGGGTGGGAAGGGGGGGTGGTGGTTTGGAGGCTTTGGGGGGGTTGGATCCACATGACCTTCATGGTCCTTTCCAACCCAAACCCTTCTAAGAGAACAGATGGGCCTTCCACCCTCCTGGAAGCTCGCGGTGGTTCCCGGGATGAGGCAGCTGGAGGAACAGGGGGACGGTGGGGACACGTGGAGTTGTGTCTGGAAGGGCTCAGCCCGACAGGCTCTGCACCCACAGTGTGGTTTGTGTGTGTTAGCAAAGCATCTCTGCCTTTGGATTTGGCTTTTTTGGATTGGACTCGTTTTCCTGCTGCATCACATGTGATGCTGCTGCGTGTCTGTTTGGGTTTATTTGTCCTCTGGACTTTCTTGGGGACTTTTTTTTGTTTTTCTGTCTTGTTTTTGTTTGGGTTTTTTTTTTTTGTTTTGTTTTTTTTT